GAGGAGGATGTTCAAGCCACCCACAGCCCAAGAGGGAATCCTGGCTGAGGAAGGCAGGGAATAGGTGTCCCCAAGTGAATGCCTGCCCCGGGACCGTGACCTCACTATCCCTGATGATGTCAAAGCAGGAAGCTAAGGGGTTCATCGATTCCCACCTAGGGAGTTGGGGTTCGGGTGCTGCCCTCAAGGACTTGCTCTGCCAATTCCACGAGGCAGGAGCCCTGGAAGCCAAAAACCACAGCAGGCCCTGGAGCCAGGCCCAGCCACAGGGCTCTGGCTTCCTCTGCACCCCGCCTCGGGGTACCATAGAGCCCAGTACCCCTCTGGAATCGGGAGCCTCACAGTTCCGACCGGCCTGACCTCCGAGGCACAGGACAGGAGGGAGGGGTGTGTTTCATCAGCCCTGGCTGGACTGTCCCTACAGGTCTCCTGAGCCCCAGCCTGACTCCTCCCTTGCAGTTCCTACCTCCCCCTCCTTCCCCCTCACTGTGGGGGCTTTCTTCTCCATTTGCACCAGAATATCCTGCTCAGATGTCACTTTTTCCAATTTGTGGGCCCCAGTGCAAAACAAAAATGTCTTTAAAAACTTGAAACCACTGAGGGCAGAGCCTGAAACAAGCAGGGGCCATCTAGGCCTGGAGCCCTGGTGGGTCCCTGGTTCACACAGAGCCTGTCTCATGGCCCCTCCAGGGATCAAAGATCTTTATGTACATGCCAGGTGCCCCCACTGGACTGTGAAACTCATGTGTGGAAAGGCGCGTCACTGCTTGTACCAGAGGGCGCATTGCAACGTCTACAATAGGGGCTCAATAAATACCCAATTGTGTTGTGTTGGCAAATCTATTTGGATTCTGCAAGTGCAAAGTGATACCAGCAGGTGGCAGTGTTCCCCGCGCAGGAGCTGCGCGTCCGTTTAGTTGAGAGCCCCCAGTTCGCTAAGGTTTGTCTTCACTGTTTCAAGCTCTCTGATCAGGACCCCACGGCCCCTCCCCCCTACCGGACACACACAGGGTTGAGGGTCATCGCTTTGTCCATATTTCCTCCTCTTTTACAGCTGGGGAACAAGCGCCAGGGAGAAGCCCATGAAGTTCTTGGGTAGGCTGATGGCAGAGCTGCCTTGAATCCTGAACTCTTGGTGGTAAATCCAGAGCTCTCAGCTTCTCACTTGGAAGAACAGGTCAAAATCTCTGCCCCACTGTCTCCCTACTTACTGACTTTCGTGCCACTGAACGCCGATCCCCCCAACCCCACTCTCCTCTCCCAAGCCCGTCTTCTGGTTTACGCTTTAACATTCGAGTTTCTCTCTTCTGTTTCTTTTTTCACCTGTTTCCTTTTTTTTATTTCGAGGGGCACAACTTCTGTTCCTTTTAAGTTAGGCTTCCTTAAAGAGAACTCACAAAACCACAGTGTGCGTGCCATTTTCAGACACTAAGCTCCCTGGGGAGGGTATGGGTCACTGAGGACACGGTGGCCATGGCCTGGGAGAGAGAAAGGAGATTTTAAGGGGGCACGAGATGCACAAGACAACATCTAGCAAGCTTTGCAGGTGTCCGTCCTGACCACACTCATCAAAAAGGCCCCCTACTCAGGCCTGGCTCTGTTCTAGTCCCCAAGGGACAGAGGTGGGCAGAATGGAGTGAAGTGCTAAACACCTGCTCCAGTCATCTGCCACCTGGAGGGAGGCTGGGGGAGGGGTGAGAGGTGGGCAGTGCCCTGGGGAAGGCAGAGCCTTGTGATCCAGTGCTTTGTGGACTTGCCCTGGTCACAGACCATTGAAGAGGGGTCTGCTCTGCCAGGCTTACCCCCAAGCCTTCATCTGCTTCAAAACATCCTCCTCCACCTGGCTCCGGCTTACCTGGGGAAGGGTATTGGGCTTGGCTGGGTTTGCCCTGCCCTACCACAGATCCCCACATAACCTCCACAATGGCGGTAACATTGATGAAAAAACAACCCTAATGGATGTGTGAGCAAGGACCCGATTCCCTTAATACGACTTCCAGGGAGTCTACTCCCCAACCCCACCTGTGGCAATTCACTTAGTTGGAATTTCCAAGAACTTGCGGTCAACATTAAAAGAGGATGTACCATGTACACGCATTTGCATTTGCGTCCCCTCTTTATGTGATTACTCTTACGTATTATCAGAGAGGTCGCCTTTAAATGAAGCTGTGCTCAGCTCATGATGACGCTTCTTCAGCCATCTTGGAATCAAAATGATATGTTCTAGCCAAGGGCGCTATTTCAAGTCCTCTGAACGTCAGACCTCCTCCTCCTCTTCTATAAACAGGGACATCAGTATTTGTATCATCAAGATGGAGGACAACTAAGACCTAATATGTAGAAAGCACTTTGGACAGGGCTCGGTCCCTGTAACCACTTTCTTGAGTTAGCAGCCCTCACTGTCGTTTCTCCAGAAGCTCTTTTAGATGGAATCCGATATTGCAGTCTCCGCTTAACAGACGGGGAGCTGATGCTTTGGAAGAAGTAAGTGACCTTACTGTATTAGGTTTCTGTGTTGTGTAACAACTTACCCCGAACGTGCCAGATTAAAACAATACACATTTATTGTTCTGCAGTTCTCATGAGCCACACGTCCAAGCAGAGTTTAGCTGGATCTTCTGCTCAGGGATACCCAAACGAGAACTGGGGTGTTGGGGCTGCTGTCTCAGAGGGACAGGGTCCTATCCCCAAGCTCCCGGGATGGTTGCCAATTACAAATGTCACGGCAACTTGCTTCATCAAAGTCAGCAGGAGAGCTCCACTCTTATCAGGAAGGTTCTAGATCTTCTCTACAGGTCTTTCAATGGATCAAAGCTGAGCAACACAAAATAACCTCCTTGTTAGCTCAAAAATCAACTACCCTTCGACATCACCGACTAGGAATGCAGGCACCCCACACAGTCAAATATCTGAGAATAACTTCTGACTCCCAAGAAATGTAACTGCTGAAAGCCTACTATTGACTGAAAACTTCCCCCAAAACATAAATACTCAATGAACAGAATTTTGTATGTTAAGTGAATATACTGTGTTTTAACAGTAAAATAAGCTGGAGAAAAGAAAATGTCAGTAAGAGAATATAAGGAAGAGAAAATAGATTTTCAGGACTAGACTGCAGTGATGCCGTAAATTTATCTTTGCTTATAAGAAAACCCACAGAGGCAAACTGAGTTATTTCAAAAGTTAACTGCAATTCATCACCGTAGTGACATGTTTATGATTCCCTTCACGTAGGCTATCTAACGAGTCTCAATCACGGGATTGACACCCACTGTGTTTACTCAAAGGGAGGGAATAGGTTGGATAATGCACCAGGGGTCCGGAATCTTGGGCGCATCTTGGAATTCTGCCTACCCCACCCCCAAAACACACAGCAAATTATGGGCTGGGAAACCTAGTTGGCCATTAGGCCTCCCCAAGCACCGTAAAGGAAACATCCCATGTTAGGGGGAGTGTTTCTGCTGCTTCAAGATTGGTGGGTTCTTGAAAGAAAATAGCCCAATATTGTCCAAAATGCACACTTTGCTTCTCTTTCCCAACTCTCAGATATGATACCACAGCAAGTTCCATTCAGAGCCAGCTCTGATAAGTTAACTCCAGTGTGACCCAGCAGGGGGCTGGAGTAACCACCTTCAAGACAACAGAGCCCTCTCCCAACCCACAGGACTGACCTTGTGAGCGACTTCCAGGTCTCGGCCATGGTGTCCCGAAGACACCCCATCAGTCCAAGGTGAGGAGCTGAGACCTCCTGCCAACGGTCCCACCAACTGGTAGGCCCCAGCACAGCCAAGCTCTCAGGTGACTGCAGCCTGTTTTTTTTTAAGAAAGTGGTTTCTTTCTTTTTTTTTTTTTTTTAAAGATGTATTTATTTATGCATACAAGAACTAGGGCATGGGCCAGAGGTGCAAAGGGGTGAAAGGATTCACCAGAGACAGAGTGGGGAGCAGAACAGGTGGACTGACTGAAATACACTGCTGAGGGGAGCAGCGGGCGGGTCAGGAGAGGTCTGCCGCGCCATGTGGTCGGTCACCTCTGGGGCAGGCGGGGATCGAACTCATGCGGAAGTGGCTTAAGCTTCTTAGTGCTGTGCTTTACCCCGCTGTGCCACCAGGGAAGGCCCTAGACGAATTTAACTTTTGAGATAATTTTAAGCAGCTACCTGCGACGAATGACACTGTATCGGGAAAACACTGTCTCAGGCTCTCGCGGGATCTGAGACCACAACCACCTCAGATGGCCTGAGCAGCCCCTGTGAAGAGTCTGTGACAGACTCCCACCGGCAGTGGGTGTGAGCAGACTCCACATGGCCTGGGCTCGGATCCCACCTCTATCATTTTTGCCACGTCGGCAACTCTTTGGCACCCGACCCTGTGCATCCTCCTTTCCCACCCACCCCGCAACCCCCTGAGAAGCACTGGGCAATGAGGCACCAAAGGCAAACCACCAGAGCCTGAGGCCTTGGAATTAGGGTTCCCTCCGCAGGCCTCCCCCTTGGAGGCAAGGATCTTACCCACCTCCCGACACTGCTCCAGAGCTGTTTGAGGAGGCCGGCCACGCACAGGCAGGCACAGGCTAGCAGGTTCCAGGTAGCAGGCAGAGCCCTTTTCTGGAAGCAATCACACTGGTCCACAGCCCCTAGCAGTTCTCATGCAGCCCCAGAGCTGCCGAGTCTGAAATTTTTCCTAAGTGGGGGAGCCGGATTTTATTCAAAACCTCCTCATTTTCTCCAGCTGGCAGCAAACCTGAGGCTTTGTGTACGTGTTGGAGACATGGTACCGAGTAAAAAAAACACCGAGGCAGGCAGGACCTGCCCTTGCCACGGTGCTGCCAGGCCTTCTCCCTCCCTCCAGGTCCCTGAGCTCATGTCTCTGCCTCTGGGGTCTGACACCCCAAAGGGGCATTATGGCCAGAGTAGTCATCTCAGGCTCCACTGAGACCCAGGAATACAGAGCCCAGAAAAGATGGCTTGTTAGGAACTTGAAGACGACAGAGGCAGGCGATCTAGAAAGTACCAGGTTTTATTATCTTTTTATCAAAAAATCAGTAACAGACAACAGTGTGAGGAGACTACAGAAAAGGTGCTCACTCGCGAAGTCTCTGGAGGGGAAGGACTGGGGCGGGGAGGGCCCAGCCAGCTGGGACCAGTGGTGAAGGGTAGTGAAGGAGGAGGGGCCCCCCCCTGCCAGTGGGGTCAAGAGAAGATGGGGTCTGACCAGGCCCAGCCACCACCCCTCCTTTCCAGAGAGGGAGGCTCGCAGAACACAGGCCCAGAGCTTGGCCTCCTCAGCCCCCTCCCAGCGAGAGGAAGGTCAGGCGGCGGCAGCCAAGGGCCCGAGCTCCTCCCGGTGGGGACGGCCTCTCCCTGTACACTCAGGACAGGCCATTCAGCCACCGCCATTCAGCCAGCGGTCACGGAGCACTTGAACGTGGTTAGTCACTGAGGAATGAACTTGAACTTCACATCCTTCTGACTGACTGAACAGCCACACGTGGTCAGCGGTGGCGCGGGGCAGTGACCCTCCGACTCTCCCCTTACATTGAGAGCGCCCGCCAAGGAAGCCCCCGAGCCCCAGGAAAAGGCCAGAAGGAAGAGACAGACAGGCGCCCCCACCCCCAGGCAGGAGGCGACCCGAGACACAGGCCAGGCCAGAGGCCACTCAGTCACGCACTCTCACTCGCTCAGCCACCCGCCCACGCCAAACCGGAAATAGCACGCTACTTCCTGGAAAAATATATTTCATCTATTTCTCTAGAACCAAGGAAGAAGAACAATATATTACAAGAAAAGAGACAAAAATATCCCGTCATCCCCTACATTGTACTTTGGGGTCTGCTAAGAAACTGCTTCCACAAAAGTCACTTCTTAGAAGAAGCAGCAGCTTCAGAGAGGGCTAAAGTCAGGGGCAGAAGTGGATGAAGTATTAAAAAATTGGGGGAGGGAAATAAGAAAAAGAGGAAGAGGGGAAGAAGGGCCCTGTCTGAAGCTATAAATAGTAAAAAAAAAATTAATAAAAGTCATATCGCCGGCTCTCCTCTCTTTTTTGAGAAACAAACAAAAAAAAACATTAAATATAAACTTAGCAGGTGCTCTGGAAATGTGTGGGACAGCGGAGGACCCCTCACTGGGGCCACTCCCGCCAGCAGAGCCACATGAAGGAATGGACATTCACAAGACACCCTAGACGCACATACATAAGTACCCTACAAACCCTTTTCTATCAGCAGTCAGCGCTTGCCTTCCTGTCCACCCACCCCCGCTCTCCCTCCCTCCCCAAACAAAAATGTCAGATTCCCAAAAGTCATTTGAAAGAGCCTAGAATGGCCAGAGCATGGTCACAATTGCCCTCGGATGGACGTGAATCAAGGTGCGGAAGGTTCTAGGAGCTCCTCTCAGCTGCTGGGGCGACCCAGAGCTAGCACCCAGCGTCGCACAGGCCCGGCTGAATGGTCCACAGACTGCTGGAGCTGGGCTTGGCTTCTAAGCTGGAAGGTTAGAAGGGACCTTCGGAGAGACCGGTTTCCTCCCATTTTTTCGGCTGGCACAATGGAGGCCCAGAGAATCAGGAAGGCACAGAACACACCATCTCATCTCATACTTGACACGTCATGGAAGCTGGAGATGCTGATAGGTCAGTTTTTAGGTTGCCCCCCCTCCCTTAATGTCCACCCTTCAAAATCCTTCCACTTCCCGCCCCCCCCCAAATCCAGGCCGGTGCCCACGAGGAAGCTTCAGGCGTAGAACTCGTTGGTGGGGGCTTTCTTGTAGATGGGTTTCTTGCCCAAGTCGTAGCTACCTTCGTCCTTCTTCTTCATGCGGTATACCAGCAGGAGGACCAGGAAGATGGCGAAGAGGATGCCCATGATGCCTCCCACTATCAGAGCTAGAGGGGCGAGAGGAGAGAGGGGTGACAGCTGCTCACAGGGACCTCCCCGCTGCACCCCGTCCTGGCCAGACAGCCTCACAGTCACCAGCGCCGGGGCCAGCAGCCGAGGCCTCATCTGATGCTCATGACCTCATTTAGGGGAAGCCAGTCACACAGTAAGTCACTGACGACTTGCAGCTCCAGTGGCAGGCAAAGCCACCACCCGACAAGCAGGAACTTGAGTCTGAGACCAGGTTCTTTCCAAACACCAGGCCGACTCCCAGCAACAGCATAGCACGAACCGAGCCAGGAGCCAGGAAGGGCGCAGAGTGGAATCCCCCCAGACACACCCAGCCCAGAAGCCTCGGCTCGGCAGCGTCTGCTCCCACTCCCACGGGGCCGCCACTCCCACGGACAGGCACATGCTGTGCAAAGCCCAGTCCGCGGGTCTACACGGAGGCCCACACAGCCGTGCCACAGACGGCTTGGCGCTGTGGCTGCTGTTACTGCAAATTTAGCCGGAGGTTAAGGCCTACATTCCACTCCCATCTCCCCCACTTTACTGGCTGTGTGATGCCAGGCAAGTTCCTTTATCCATCTCATTGCAAAATGGGAATAATACGACTTTTCTCCTGCCTTTGTCCTAAGGATTAAATAAATTAATCCACTTAAAGTACTTAGTCCAGTGCAAGGCGAACACTCAATCGTCATTCATGTACACCTTTGTGGTTTATAGCTGCATCCCTAACACCCTGGCACAGCACACAGTGCTTCATAAATGCGCTCAGGTGGGCTGAGCGAGGGCACCTGCAGAGTCAGATGACGTGGGTCTCCACCACCGAAGCATGTGCTCTGCCTGCAGCCCGCCAGCCTGAGGGGCGCGCTCCCGGTTAGCACGAGCCTCTCGGGACTGCTGGGCCAGCCGGCTCCCGGGAGAACGGAGGAGGCTCCTGGCCTGGGCCCAGGGCACCCACTCACCACACTGGCTCCTCCAGACCGGCCCCTGACTGCCAACCTGGCCAGAAAGGGAGTTCCCCCGACAACACCCCCAGCTGCAGGGCCCGCAACCAGCCTGACAGCCACTCCTGAGCCTCACCCTGGACGCGACTTGCCCCACTACAGGCCAGAACTGCGCCTTTCGCCTGAAGCCAAACTTATCACCTCTCTGGGCCTCAGCTTCTCAACCTGTTCCGGGAGGCCTGTGGCACCTGTGTGGCACCTACTGTAAAGGAAAAGCGAGGACTCCAAGGCCCATTATGCTAACAAACCAGGACTGCCCTTTACAGTCTGCAAGTTATTTCAGATCCTGTTTCTCATGGGATCATTGCTCCAACCCAAGGAGGCTTCACTGTACCCATTTACAGAGAAGGAAACTGAGGCAGGTTGGAAGGCTTCAAGAGCAGCGGGGGTGGGGACCCACTTCTAAGGGGCCTCTGGGCTTCTTAACCTTCCAGAATTAACTCCCCGGGTGCCAAACCTGGGCTGTAAAAGTGCTTTGAAAATACGAGGACTTAAGGCAAGTGAATGACTCAACTTGTCTATTCTTTTTTTCTTTTTTTTTAAGATTCAGCAGTGGTCACCTTGTCTATTCTTAGCAGCCTTTAATAGACAAGCCTTTCCCTCCACTGGCCCGTGTGCGGGGATGTGCAGACACATACACAGAGCCAGAGCCACCCTCTCCCTTAGGGAGATCTGGTCTTCCATGCCCAGGGTGCCTTGAGTGTCACTGAGAAGGGGTCGCAAGGAGCCAGGTGGGGCCCCACTGGCCCCCACTAGCTGGGCCCCTTCCCCACCCAGCTCTTTTGAGGAGCACACAACCGTACCTGCCAGGACCTCTGTCCTCTCGAAGATGCTGCTGCTCTGAGCAGTGCTGGACATGGACACTTTGTTGGGCACATTCTCAGTCTCAAAGGGTGAGATCTTCTTGGGAATGACCTCGTTCTCCTCCAGCTCCTTGGGCTCAGTGGGGACCCGCCTGCCAGGTCCTGTCCTCTCAGGGATGTGATTGTCTATAGGCTCCTGAGTGGGGGAAGGAAGGACACTCAGTGCAGTGCAGGAGGGGAAGGACACTGACCAGGGACGGGCGCATCAGCTGGGGGGGACGCTGGTTCTGCCATCGTTCCCGCTGAACCACGCCGTCTGGAAGAAATCAGAAACAGCCTCTCGAAGACCAGGCTGGCCAGTACCTTCCCTGGACTTCCCTACTGTATCTGCCCCAAACAGGGCATAAGGGATGAGACCCAGGGTCCAGGGACGTGGGTGTCCCTGCACACTGCTGGTCAGTGCACTGCTGGTCAGCAGGGCAGTTTGGCAACCCCAGAAATGTCTCGCCCGTGAGTGCAGCCTGTGGTGCGAGGGGCTCTGTCCTAAGTCAGCGATCTGCGTAAGAGAGGCTTGCTGTGGGTTGCATTTTAGAATACCGAAACATCATAAACCACCTGTCCACTAATACGGAGAATCAGGTGAAGTGTATAGTTCTGTATATGCACAGGAGGAACATTAGTTCTGTGGGAAAACACAAGTGCCAGCAGATGCATGGCAAGGGGGCACCACTCTGAGTGTTGAGTCAGGACCTTGCAGGGCCTTGTGGGCCCACAACCCACAGCTGGGCCCCACACCAAGGCCCTGGTGGAGGGAGGACAGACTCCACAACAGGGTTACAGGGTGTGGGGGGGGGTGGGGCCCGGGCGAGCAGTCACTCACCAAGGGCTGGATGATTTCAGGGATCCTCAGAGTCATCTTGGGGTCCTCAGAGTCATCTGCAAGGACAGAAAGACTGTGTGTGAATGTGAAGTCAGTCACCCCAGATGATGACCCTCAGCCATGGCGGTGGGCGGGGTTGGGGGACTCCCAACTTACATCCAGCTCCCTGGTGCTCACAGGCCAAGTGATTGTCCCTAGCCTTGTTCAGTCACCACATCTGTGAAGTGGGGCTCCCGAGGCCCCTTCGATATGGTCTCCCTGTGATAGCTAGCTGGTAGCTGAGGAGATGCTTCCTCAGCTCCAAACCCCTGCTAAGTCATGGCCAGACCCTGGGCTCACAGCAACTCTGGAAGCGGGTTAGACACGCAGGCTCTCAGGGCCTAATGAATCAGCCTCTACATTTAGCAAGGTCTCCAGGGGATTCATTTGAGAAGGCTTTAGATGGTGATGTTGAATACTAGAAACTACACTGTTTACTGAGAGGTCGCTGTGTGCCAAGAGCTCTCACGTGGCCGAGTCTCCCCTACGTGACTTTCCTGCGCTATGTGTTAGGAATCGTGGGCTCAGACGGCACAGAGCGGCAGAACGAAGTCAGGGCCACGGGACCCCAAGGCTAGCACCTTGGAGGGGCACCTCTCAGGGGGCCTGTGGGCCCCGCAGCCAGGGCCAGAAAGTCAGAGAAGATGGCAGAAGGCCCGGCCGGCCCCCACCCTGCTCGGCTCCCACTCTTGGGGGTCTGTTCACGGCTCCCTAGCCCACCTCTGCACCTGTATGTCCCCGGGTGTCCCAGCTCCGTTCCTGGCCAAAGGTCCAGAAGCACCAGGCTGGTCCCCACTGTGGTGCCAGGCCCCAGACCAAGTGGGACAGGCTCAGGCCAGTGCTCAGAAAACTAGAGCCACGAAGGAAAACTCAAGCGACCAGGACAGGCCCGAGAAGGCCCCGGGGATGGAAACTGTTGACCCAGTCACTTCTGTTTCCTCTAATATGGAGGGGCCCAAAGGAAAGCCCCACAAAGCCCCACAAAGCCCGAGGCTCCAGCCTGGGTCACCTCCAAGCAGAGGCCACATTCCCGCAACCCCACCACTTCCTCCATACCCATATCTCCAGAGCCAGACAGCTCAAAGTCATCAGATTCCTGCCCAGGGACCCCCACATCCTCATCGTCGGGTAGGGCTCCGGAGAATTCCCGGCCTCCTAGGAGATCCTGGGGGTCGATGACCTCAGTCTCTCGGATCTGGAATTAAAAAACCACACGTGAGCTCAGTGGCCCCCAGGCTCCAGCACAGCCCCTGATGTCTTCGGAACGTAAGCTGGGGTGCTGTCAGGTCTCAGGCCAGAGCCCAGAGTCTGAGGTCCCAGCTGCTCCTGACCCTGACTTGCTGTGTGACCTTAGGCAAGTGTCTATGCCCTCTGGGTTCATGAAAATAATGAAGATGGCGTAATCTGCCTATCAGTGTTTCTAGATGCCATAATGAAGCGCTTGATGTATGCCATCCCTGGTCTTAACCACACAGGCCCAACCGTGACTCCACTTGACACCCAGGGAAACTGGGCTTGAGAGACACAAAATCATTGTCTTTGGTGACATAAGTAGCAGATGGAGAAGTGAGGATCCCACCAGGGTGATGCTGGAGGCCACGGGCTCCCAGGCTTCCTCCTACGAGGCGGCACGGTTGATTCACCCACAGCCGGGAAGGCTGCTGGCTCTGGTCTTGCCCTGTTGGGACACCTTTCCCAGCTGAGTCAGACTGGGCTGAGGCCGGCAGGGCAGGCTCACCTCGCCCACGCTCCAGCACAGCCCTGGGCCAGAGCACTGCCCAGAACCGGTGATCCAAGCGAGCAAAAGTGCACGCTCTCTTCAGCCTTCCAAACTGCTCCCACGGGCATCCCGCCGGCCCAGAGAGCACACAGAGAACAGGCAATCTCTCACAGGCCTCCAGCTCCCAACCACACGGCCCCCACCCAGAGGTCCCTGCTAATCTAGTGGAATCTCAGGCCCATCCCCCATGGTGAGGCTTTCAAAAGCAAAGCGTGGAAGGTCCACAGAGGCAAAAACACCTTTCCCATGGTCCCACAGAGCAGGCCTCAGCCACTTTACATCCATCCATGCGCTCAGCCAGCCGAAGACAAAGCCCCTCGGAATCGTCCGGATGGTCAGGAACGCCACCTCCCTACCCCTCAGCTCCTGCGCTCAGGCGTCTGTCTGCCCAGCACAGCAGACCAAAGCGCGGGATGTCACCAGTTAATTCAGATGCCAATAATGTGCCCACTTTTTGTCAGGGTTCCGATTACATTCTGCACACATGGCTCCCCAAGGCATTCTGCTTATGCCTCCCAGATCCCCTAATTCAGGGGGTGGGAGGTCCTGGGGGGAAGTCCTGCTCAGCACCTCAGAATACCAGCTGGACAGGCCAGGGAGGTCCCACCCTCCCATTTCACGGAACTTGAGCCCTGAGCGGGGCCGTGCCTCGCCCACGGCCACACGGTTAGTTACACGAGTTAGTTACACGGCTCCCAGTGGAAAGAGGCCAGGTCTGTTCCTGTCTGCCCCCAAGCTGCTCTGCAGCCATTGAGATGGCCTGCGCCGGGCTCCTATCGGCGGAGAGACCAGGCTCTCCCTGTACTCTGGCCACTGGCTTCCCGGGAGAGGAGAGGCCAGGCTCTCCCTGTACTCTGGCCACTGGCTTCCAGGGAGAGGACGGATCAGAGTGCCCTCTTCCACCACCCATCCCCCTACACACACACCAGGGCATTTGCCGGATTCCTGGAAGGGAGGAAGTCAGTGGGCACCAGCCCCTCCCACCGGAGGAGAATCTGCTGAAGGCTTGGCACACTGGGTGTGGGGAGCCAGAGAGGTTAAGTCCTGGTTAAGGATGACCTCATGACTCGGGAATCGGGGGCTGTTAAGCTGCTGGAATTCCAGCCCCACACACAGCCCGTGCCTGTGGCTTCGGTTTGGCAGCTCGGAGGACAGGGGATGGCTCTGGGAGGTTTCGCAAGCTGCTTACACCTTGGGCAGGTCCTGAACTCCCACCACCAGCACCTGCCCCCTTCTCCTGCTGCACGTTCCCCGGGGCCCTCAAAAAGCGGCTTCAGCGGAAACGGATTCAGAAAGGTAAAGTCCCTTGCCCAAGGTCACACAGGTAGTGGCCACATGCTCCAGTGTCCAGGTGTGGGTCACTGGACCGCCCAACCACATGCATATGAAGCCGCATTTGAGCACTTGCGCACCAAGGCCGGTCACCCCACCCGGGCTAGGAGGATCCCAGTGAAGGAAGATCAGATCTGGCCGGGGACAGAAAAGGCCCTGTGGCCACGGCAATCAGGGTTGGGGTCCTGGGGGTGCTGCCCAGGTGCGGACCCTCCCCCTCGCCTGTGGGCAGGAGCCCATGGAATGTTGTTTACACATTCTGACTTTTTCTAGTATGTGAAAGTGCTAAGGGGTGTTTCAACACAACCCATGGGGCTAGGGCGCTGGCCAGCTGCTAGAGTCTACTCCGCTTCAAATCAGACCAATGAAGCTGACAGAGGAGGCAGAGGGGGACCAGGCAGCCAAGTCGGCTGCCAAGCCGAGGCTCACACCTACAGTTAACTCAGTTCAGCCCTTTGTGTGGCCGCCGGCCTCCCTAGCTCTTCCTCTGTACACCAGGCTGCTGGAGAGGAGAAAGGCTTGGCCTAGGGTCAACTTCGTGGCGAGGTTAATGCCCAAAAGACACCTGTTCTGGCGTCTCCGAGGGCAGCACTAGCAATCCAGGGGCTTGGGTGGGCTCAGTGGGCAGTGCCAAGGGCGGGCACGGGAAGTTGAGCCCTCCAGCAGCCCCTCTGCTCACTGCTCTGACCAGAGGGAAATGCCCAGTGGGTGGGAGCCCTTTAACTCCAGCTGGCAAGACCAGCCCCCACACTGCTTTGTGTGTGTGGTGGGGGAGGGGTGCACCAACCGCCCTCCCTTCCCCCACTCTTTTGAGAAGAGGAACATTCAGCCTTGGGTGGTTTTCAAGAACCAGGCCACCCAGCAGCGGCCCAGTCCTGACCAGAGAGGGACCCCGCCCGGCTCCTGGCAAAGGCTGCGGTCTGCTGGCCCCAGCTCACCCGCTCCCTGCGTGGGAACGTGTGCCCACATGTGTGTGCGTGCAGACACTCCCTGGGCGTCAGGTCTCCCTGCATCTGTCCTCCTCACAGGCACGTGACTGACACCCACTGAATAAGGCAGTGATCTGGGCTGTACACACCCCTGCCAGAGGGCACCCCCGGCCGGTGGCATCAGGCTCCGGGGCTGCAAATGCATCCCAGCACTAGCCGCAGTGAAGGGAGGTAGGGAGGTGGGCGTTGCTCTGTTCTCTAGGGACTGGCACCTGCCAAGAGGATCCCAGCCTTCTTTTATAACCCGCAAACAGATCAAAAGACAAGGTCACCCAGGCAGTCACACAGCTGGACGGAGCGCTTCCGGCTCCCGGCTGGAACTGTCTGTCCACCTCAAGAGTACTGGCCACCAGGAAGTCCACAGACAGTAACTGTGCCCCGATGGACTTCCCAGCCAGTGCGGAGGCTCCGGGCATGACACCGGGCAAGGTCCAGCTCACCCCAAAGTCCTTCAGCTCGTCGCCTAGGAAGAAGCTGGCACTGGAATCACACAAGAGTGGGTGCCCCGTGCAGGGCACCCTACTGGGGTCCCTTCAAATGAGCTCATGTCATTAGCGTAACAACCTTGAAAGGGGCCCTTGAGGCAGCCGCATAGCGCACAGGTAGAAAGCAACAGAGCTGGATTCAAACCTAGATCTTTCTCAAGACCAACCAGACTTCTCACTGCCACCTACACCTCACCCCTACATCCTAACGGCCAGCCCACAACACACACTGCCTGGCCAGAGCCCCAGGGCACCCCTTCTCTAGACCAGGCAGTAAACAAAGGTGAAAGTGATATTGCTTGAACAAAAGAACAGAAACTTGGCTGGGCTACCAGGGAGAAGTTCAGGGTCAGGGCTTGCTTAACTGTAGACTGTGGGGAGCAAATACGGGAGGGGGACTTTGCCCTACCTGGCTCCTCCCCAGGGGAAGGTAGGGTCAGGGACACACGTGACTCTTTTTTTCAGGTGGCTGAGACCAGAGAGCAACTAGAGGAGCCAAATTTAGGGGAGACGGACCTTGGGGGCAGCCATGAGTTGCAGCTACGGAGCCTGGACAGGAGATCCCCAAAAGGGGCCATTGACACAGACCTTGTTCTCCCCTCTTCCCCTCCTAAAGGGTCAGCTACCCCCAGAATGAGCAGAACTCAGGGGCCCACAATCAAGATCATATCTTGGGGGCAGGCAGGCTCCAGCATGGGAGGGAAGGCCCAGGCCTAGGGACCGGACCGCCGCTCCCTAACTATGAGGCTGGGGTTACTGCACCTTGCATTCTCCTTCCCTGTTTTTGTAACCAGGGCAGGAGCACCTTTTAGGGTGACGAACATGAAGCAGAATGTTTCAGCACGTGCAAGGACTCAACACATGGCCTGGTCCACAGCAGGTGCCCAAGGACAGCAGCCACTGTCCAGCAGCAACCCCCAGCTGCCTTCCTGCTAGCCGAGGGGATAAGTGCTCAAAGGGTCCCGAGTCCTGGGAAGAGCTATGGAAGCAGTTCCATTGCTAGAAGGTGGCGTGGAGGGGTCGATGCTTTGCCCACTATGAAGAGGCATCACTCTGACAGGTTATTACTTTGCCCCCGAAACAGGAGACTTTGCAATCCTCAACCAAGTCCCTTGAGACTATGCAAGAGAAAAAGATCCAGAGATGGACAGAGGCCTGCCCAAGGTCACGCAGCCTTAGGACCTGGCCTAAGCAGAGGAAAAGTGTCTGTATTCTTCCCTAGAGAAGCAGACCAGAGACAACTGAAAGTAACTACTTAGGGATCCGCACTCCAGCCCCATCAAAGAACATAGCTAGCAGGCAAACACAAACTACGAGCTGACTCTGGTGCCTGAAGGGTTAAGCCAGGTCTGAGGGTGGGGCAGGGGTTCAAATGTCATCTGTTCTCGCTCAGCAGGCTCCAAGGTCAGGTTACTGGGAACACAATCTTGCTCAGGAGAGAAACCAGGCCTGGCCCTGCCAGCAGCCAACTTTTCACCAACCACAAGAGCAGCCCATTCCACAGCAAGGTCCCTGGGATCCTAGGGTGCCAGCTAGGAAGGGGAGTAGGGAAGGGAAGTGGGGAATCTTCTGGACATCTCCCCAACTCCACCTCCCTGTGGCCAACTCC